AGAAGGATGGGGCCCAATGTTGCTGTGTGGACTTCGGACTCCTAACAATATACTCAGGACAGACTCACACCCACTGCCAAGAATTGATGATACTCTTGATGCCCTAAGTGGAGCTAGGTGGTTTTCAACTCTGGACTTAAAAGTCGGATTTTCATCAAGTGAAAATGGATGAAGCAAATAAACCTGAGACTGCATTTAGTTATGGCAAAGGTCTCTTGCAATACTGTGTGATGCCAATCGGGCTTAGCAATACTCCAGCAACATTTGAGAGACTGATAGAAAGAAAGAGTACTGGAAGGCCTACAATGGAGGATAGCCCTAGTGTACCTGGATGATGTCATTGTATTTGCAACAACTTTTGATGAGGAAGTATCCCAGCTAGTGGAAGTATTCAAGCGTTTGTAAGAAGTAAACCTCAAACTCCATCCCAAGAAATGCCACTTGTTTCAGAAAGAGGTGCTTTACTTAGGTCACATTGTAAGTGAGCACGGTGTGCAAACTGATCCTGACAAGGTGAAAGCAGTGTGTGATTGGCCAACACCAGACAATGTGAGAGAGTTAAGAAGTTTCTTGGGACTCTGTACCTATTACCAGAAGTTTGTGAAGGACTTTGCAACTATAGCTGCTCCACTACAGTATTTGACAAAAAAAAGGCCAGAAGTTTGAATGGACAGTTTCTTGAATCTGAAAAACTAGGTAGAGGAGAAAATGTAAAGGAGTAACAGAGATCCAAAGGACATAAAGCCAAGAAGAAAATCTGCCTGATGGTAAGATAAGACAAAAAGAATTAAAACCTGTATATAGCGAGGCTTGCAAGTACCCAATATCAAAAGAAACAAAAAGATCACAAAGACACAATGTCAGGAGAAGGGAATATACTGTGTGGCATGTCTAAAAAACACTGAGATATGCTGAGAAGATTCTGCAATAGAGACCTGGATAGCAATCCACTATAAGGTGGAGGAAAACTGAAAATCTGGAACTTCTGAAATGGGTTCAGCCATTCTAGGAGGAAGGCGAGTAATATTGGGAGTAGGTAAGGTGAACACCAGCCCACAGGGGCACACACAAACGAAATTAAGGGTAAGATGTATAAAGTAAAAATTAAACGTAATTAAGAATAATCATCAAGTAAAACTACAAGTAAACCAAAAATAATGGATGTGTTATGTCTAATCGAATAGTACAGTACAAAGGATATCACTAAACTTGAAAATAAAAATTTAACCTAACAATTAGTACAATAATGAAAATGAAGTAAATGGGAATTTATAAAACGAAATAACTGTGCATGAACAATAACCTATGTATAAGATATGATGTATGAAAGAAAAACAATATAGTTAAACGAATGATTGATGTCTAAATCACATGAAGTACAGGTAATTCTAAAATAGCAAAGACCCTTAGTATCAGTGGTATTGGAGAAAGGATAACACTAAGCCTAATTTCTAACCTGAACTGGACGATGAGTATTGACTAAACTAACAAACTTATATCATAAAACTCAAATAACTACAGATAATAATACAAAACATATTCAAAAACCATAATAATATAACATCTTATCTTTCCAAAGTCAGTAGACTGTATGTCAAAATGTGTGGGCCTGACAAATATCAGCTCCTTGGACAATTAATCTACTGACAAAGTAAAGCTGATAATCTTCCCACAGAGTACCACAACCTCAAGCCAGTGTAAATGTGCGAATAGAACATATTTCCACACTAAAGTGGTAGTGTATAATTCATAATGCAAAATGAATAATAATTGTTGGCAGAAACAATGGAAAAGTTTTGTAATAAAGTAATAAGTTCCATAGCTGGGTAGAAATATAAAATAATTTCACTTCAGAATAACTCAACAAGTTATAAATATCACTATTGTATAATAATGATAATGAGTACACTTGTTATGAGAAACTAATATAAAGATATGGAAAAAAATTAAAAGAGAGAGCACAAACTAAACATTAGAAAACAATTACTACCAAACAAGAAGTGATAGTAGAATTGAATAGACTGTGTCACATGCATCAAGAGAGTATGTCTCCTCATATTGGTGGAGGGTTGTCGACTGATGATTCGTATACAAGACACATTGGAATCAGTCAATAGCTATTTATATGAAAGGAGGTAATGTACCATATTGGAATATGAATTTTCAAAACAAAAATAATACATAGTTAATTAAAATATAAAAGTAAAATATAAGTGCAATCTAATTGTCTATCAAACTAATGTGTATAAGGTGAGCACAAATAGCCAAGTGCTAGGGAACACCATCTCAATATTGGATGTAGCAATAGTTTGACATCCGTTCCAAAATGCATACATCACTGAACTGATCTGGCCTTGTTTCACCAGATAGTGTGAAATCTGCTTTTTTTATTAATTGTAAGCATGCCATTCAACTTAAAACTGTCACTTAACAATACAGCTTTTACTTTGCAAGTGGGCATGGCTTATCTTAAACTAAGGAAATATTTACAATGGTTTCCTGGGGGAGAAATTCTTTGAATGTGGTCGAGTTACTACTAAACAACATGTGTTTATGGTGTACTTTGGATGTCTGGAGGAAGCGTATACAGTGCACACACACACAGTTTCTTCTATACCAGCTCTTAAAGTGGAGAAATTGTAAGTGCGAGCAAATAACACAACAGCAAAAACTGCAGTTTTTAATTGTTGTTTTAGATGGGGTTTTTTAATGAAACAATAAAAAATGTAGATAATATAAAATTTTGAATCATAACACACACTTGATAATAATACTTTCATAAAAATACATTGATAGTAAAGTGGTTTAATTAAATTTTGAATGTAATGAAGTACTAATGCAGAAAAGAATTTAAAAATGGCACAAGAAGTTATA